TGTCGAGTGCGGAGACATCCGAGTAGTTCCGAGTGGTTCCGAGTGCATAACCGTACACAAAGAAAGCATGGAGTATATCGGAATTGAAACCAGAGCAGTATGATGCCCTGCATCATTATCTACTGAGGGATGATGTATTTTGCGTGCTGCCCACAGGTTACGGCAAGTCCCTGATATTCAGCCTTATCTTTGATTGGTCCGGATTTGAACAAAGCGCGCTTTGACTCGTTCGCGTTCATTGGCTAGATCGTTCAATGAGTCATTGAGTGCGGGCTTTAAATTTGATTGGCGGGCGGCGGGGGCACTCGAATCTGGTCAGAGGTTACTTGACACGATGGAGATAGGCTACAGTGAAAAGGTTACTGTCAAGTCAGCTCTGAAGCTCAGGGTGATTTTTGTAGGTTAACAGCTGTAAATTGTTAGAAAAGTGCTTTTATTACAGATACCCTGTCTAACATAATTAATGGTTAAAAAATACAAAATAGTGGTTAAAATATACATATTTTATACCCTTTAGTAAAAGGTATAAGAGGTACCCCATCAAATCCACTGTTTTACTGTGACTACTACAGATGTAAAGAAATGTCTATTAAATTGAAAAGACGATATTAAATGTCACAGAATTAACATAAATAGTTTTTTTTGTAATTATTACTCTAAAAGAATCATCTTGATAAAACGTTATACAGACACAATATTGTCCATTCATCCACTATAATAACAATAATTATAACACTCGCAAATAAATATTTATCGTAGAAATGTATCAACATTCTAAGGGATGCTTAACCAGTTTGTTGATGATTAATGACACTTCAGACGTGTCACTGTGAAATATAGACAGCCTTGAAACCCGTGTATCATGTTTTGACTTATCTTTAGTATACTGAAATACAGGCGCAGATCCGTCCATTCAAACGCCGCTGCAGTGACGAAGCTCACGTGGCTTTTGAAAATTATATGGATTGCTCAGACTGTGGAAGTGGAAACTGAAACGCAGGTAAATTCTCTCGAATTCTCGAAAATATATTTAATTGCGGTATAGCATTAATTTCTGTTTCATGACACTAGAACGTGTTCTTAAGCCACACATGAGGTGAAAAACTTGATTGCAATTTTAGACGATATAAATGTGATCTTACCGCGCATTTCAAACAAACTACTAAAGTAGCTTGTTTTGGTCTTTGGAGGGTGCAAAAATTTGTAAGTTAATTGGAAAGAATACTGATGGCTTAGTCTATGTACTTTTGTCTATTAATAACCATTCGTTACAGAAAACCATATAAATTTGCTGTTCCAAAGCACTTCGTTAAATATTTAGTCCGTTCAAAATGCATGTGCTATAGAATTCTCTGCAAATAGGCAAGGACACATTATATCAAATCGGTTTATCAAATCTTCATCGTCTCTATTGGCTACCTGCTCAGGTTTTTTTTTTTATCCGTACCTTTTAAGATTCTGAATCGAAACTGTTTCTTAATCGAAACTGTTATCTTTACAGAGAACAAGTTGGTACATATAGTTACGTACATCAAGGTCGTCTTTTAAAAACGGTAATCATCATTTTCGTTATTAATATTATTATTATTATTATTATTATTATTATTATTATTATTATTATTATACCAATTGCCTTTATGCATATTAAGTTTCACAGTGTACTGGAAACACAAGTCTCTTAATTCTCTCTGCAAAAGAGCCCCATAATTATAACAAAGTGGTATTTGCTACCTCGCGTAACGGCAAAATATACAGACAGCAACTTAGTCACATTTAATTTTATGCACTGGCCCCGTAAAGCTTTTATAGGAAAATGGGATGAAAGTGTGGCGGAATTTTTCAGTTTAAATGTTTGGCACATTGAAGCTGGGTTGAATGTTTTATATACCGGGTAGTTATCTGTAGAATTTGGGAATTAAGAAAAAATATCTAGTTCATCGTTGTTACTGTTAACGTTCTGAAAGAAAGAATTGCCTTGTTCTATGCGACATTTTTCTTAAGTGACTAGAAAGGTTTGCTTTTACCAGGACACCAGCTTAAATATATATCAGAGAATATAATTAGTGATTGATGTTTGCATGCTGCAAATGCAACATATTTTAATTGGATACTTGTTAAGTGTGTGTGTGTGCGAGAGAGAGAGAGAGAGAGAGAGAGAGAGAGAGAGATAGAGAAATAGTTTCCATTTTTACACTACAGAGAAACCCGTGCTGTTGAAATAGCAAATGTAATGTATGAAACGCTATTCACGCAAAAAATCAGACTTGCAATTTAATAGCCAAATGACATTCTAACAGCCTACACAAAATGGCGTTTTATAGTAATGCATTCGGTTGTGCATGTGATGTCGGCCGTAGACAAAGTTGCGACCCGATTCCTACGTAAAAAAAAACTCTCTCTTTTGATTTAACGATATATAATATTATAAGAGGCACTCTTACTGTCATGGTTATACCTGCAAGTGGCCGAGAATTAAACCTAGTCTCCCTGCTATCGTCTTTCGTGTTCCGTGAAAAATGAGTATTTTACTTGAATATCATCATTCTTCATTCATATCGTATTTCATTCTCATGCAGATCAAAGTAATTTACAAATGAAAACTACCAGTATTGTTTAATGCGCTTTTGAAATAGACAAGCCGCTATCGATGTAAAGCCCCCATATCTCTGTTTCAGTCTGTCTCGGAGAGTTTTTCTATCATGATATACCGGTAACTTCAAATGTGAAGGTTATCAAACTTTGTAAAACGTCAGGTAAAAGTAGGAAAGTTGAATTAATGTTCTACTGAAGTTGCAAAATGTCACACACCTGTGCAAGCTCTGTGAACTCAACAAAATCATTTCACTAGGGACAGAGACATGTGCCGAAAACAAACCAAACTAAAAAAATAAATCATGACAGTACAAGTTGCATTGCTATCTGAATTTCATATAATTAACGTTATCATTTTGTCTCACATAATTCCAAATTTAATATCTCGCGAAATAAAAGGAAAAAGTTGTATAAGTATCTGAATTACATATAAACAGCATTATCATTTCGTCTCACATAATGATAAAGGTACATTTCTAATTTCAATAAAGGGAGGAAGACGTGATGTTTTTTAGAGCTACTGCAGATCAGAATCGAATTCCTGGCGATCAATCTTGCCGTCATCATTGGCGTCCATTTCCTTAAACGCAGCGTTAATATCTGGGTATCCCTGTAGGACAGTGCTGAGCTCATCCAAGCTTATATAACCATCTCTAAAACATAAGAAAAAGATTCGATTAACGCTACGTGCGTAGGTCACGTGACAGAGGGAGCCTTAACGAAGTCGAAAAGGGTTTTAAAATAAATTAAGTCTTTTTTTTTCTGAATGAGCGCTCTACAGGGATAGTAGTATTATAGCTTTCCACATTGCAGCTGAATAATCTGGTTATCATTTATGAAAGTGAATCTCACTGGGCACGACCAGTTAATGTAACAAACTATATTACATGTAACTGATGTATATACACTCAATAACGGCATATTTTATGTGGGTACATGCTCGAAGTTAAAATTCTACCCAAACAGAAGAAGCAAACCCGTGAACGCGAGTGAAGCACCATATTTAACCAAGGACTTGGAATAACTTCTTGGTTTAATTTTACGAATCTGGAAACGGACTCAAAAACGCTCATTGTGAAAGACCATTTGTCTGAATAATTTGGCCTTGTGGGGAACCCCCTTAAGACCATCCCGGGACCCCACATTACATTAAATAACCCCTTAATAATAAAACCCCAGAGTTTAGCTCAAAGGGCTCACATCTTTGGAAAACGCTATCTGTAATACTGCTACAGAGATTCCCAGGTTCTTTGTCTTAAACTCTGCACATAGAAAGGAATGAAAAGACTCCATGTTGTAACTTCAACAGAATATATTTCCTACACTGTCAGTTACACGGTACAAGCCTCTCTCCTTCCCTCTCTCTCTCTCGTCTATCCCGTGTTGTCTTCTAGCTATTCATCAATCTCTTCCAGATATAAGTTTACAGATTTTTATACTAAACTTTATCAATTAAACTGCCCATCATATAACTTATAAACTGATTGGTTACTTCAGACACATGTCCACCCCCTCATGGTTGTCAGTCCCATAAACTCCATGTAATCAAGCTCTAACAGATTATTAGCTTGAAACAAAGGACCTTAAGATTTGAACTGCAAGGTGTGATGTATTATCTGAAGCTACTTATACAACATGGCTTCCTCTGATTGAATTAATACTACATCATATGTAAAAGTTTTAAAAGCACTAATTACACTTTTTCTATACTGTGGTTCCTGACACCCCGAGTAACGATTAATGAAGTTCGTATATAGCAAATGAGTTGTGACCTAAATTCTTATTAGGCTGGTGTATATTAATTTCTCACGTACGACTGTATGCCCCAGTATGTGTCTGTGGCCCCGTTCCCATACCTGCGTCGATCTAGCAGGATCAACCCATCTCTGAGGGTTTCTCGCTAAACTGCATTCGGCTTAAACGGGTCTGATGTCTGACACGTCTACTAAAGCTGTAAGGCGGTAATTAACTATCGTTTAGCAGCTTCGGCATTTTAACGAGAATCCCCTTGGAGATGGGTCGATACTAAAATATCGATCTCGTTATGGGAATGGGGTCTATGTGAACGCGTGTGGTCGGGCTGGCATGCGAGTTTGACGGTGTTGGTTGAGTGTATCTGCACGTTCGTGTTCATGTTTATAAGTGAGGTGGTGTACGTGTATGTGTGTGTGTGCGTGCGTGTATGTGAGAATGAGTGCGTTCGTGTGTATAGTAAGTACAATCATCTAAAATTCAAACTCACCCATCTATATCAAGCTCGGCAAACATTTTATCTGGACCCCAGTTTTCGCCCTGATCATCCTGGTCTTCATCACCCTGGCCCTCATCTTCCTGATCGTCATCTTCCTGGTCCTCAACATCCTGGTCCTCATCTTCTTGGCCCTCAACATCCTCAGCATCCCTTCTCCTTTTGTACGTACATCGGCAGCTTTGGTCCGGTATTTTCCACCAGCCTTTACTTATAGTACTGTACAAATAATGCGACGAACTCGTGTTTATTATATAGATTTTGACAAGGATCCTTTCTTTCTGGTGACAGATGGATGATGACGCCACTTAATTACTAATTATTGTTTTCTTTTTTAATATTGAGTAGTGTTCGTTTATTTAATAATTTATTGTTTTTCTATGATTATTTTACTACGATGATTTCTTGTACAAATTTCTATTTGCTGGACAGAAATGTCCACAGAATACCCATGTAGGTGAATATATGTAAACATCTAGTGAAAAATTATATATAGACATTTCGTTTTTAAAATGTACAGACGTACTTCTTAAAAATCATTCGAACCCATTCGTTGTCTTCAAATGAGAGAGAGAGAGAGAGAGAGAGAGAGAGAGAGAGAGAGATTTAAACATACGTGACCACAGGGACGCAGTCACTTCTACATTCAGAGGCACAAGCGCAGCCGAATATGTTGCACTTTCCGTATGAACAGTAAGGGGTTTTCTGTAAAGTGAAACGTGAAATTGTATAATCACTCTAGCTCTCTCTCTGTTTCGTAGACACACTTGCACCTACACACGATCGCGCTCTCACACTCGCACACACATACACACAAAAACACGCAGCGTGAGAAAAGAGAAAAAATATTTCATAACGCTCACTGACATAAAATTGACTTCTGGGTTTAAGTCCCCTTGCAAACCTGTACATTTTGAAACTAAAATATTGAGTGCCATAGTTTTCTGTATTCCGATGCTCTTTATCTAGCTCTTTAATATAGTAGGTCCTACCCTAGTGCAATCAAGGCAATAATCTCCTTTGCCTCCTCGACAGCAGATTGCGGCGG